GGTTCAGGTGCAACTGGTTGGTAGATTTGGTGGTTGGAAAACTCATTTATTCATTCATTCATTCATTCATTCATTCATTCATTCAGCAAATACTTGCCTATGTACCAGTTGCTTTAATAGAGGCAAGGCATACAGCACTGAATGAAATAAATAAGACTCATGCCCTCATGGAGTGTATATTCCATTGAAGGAAGCCAAGCAATAAATGTTAACAGATGAATTTATGATATGTCATATAGAAAATAAGCACTCTGGAGAAAAATGAACTAGGGTAAGGGTGTTATGGAGAGCTGGAGAAGAGGTTGCCATTTTTTTATCAGGTGGTCAGAAAAGGCTTTAATGATCAGGGAACATTTGAGAACAGACCTAAAGGAAGCAAGGAAGGAAGTCAGGTAGATATGTTAGGGAAGATAGTTGAGTTGCAAGCAGAGGGAACAGAAATTGTCAAATTCCTGAGGCAAGAGTGTGCTTGGCACAAATTGAGGAACAGCAAGGGGGCCAGTGTGGCTAAAGAAAATGAACAAGGCGGGAGAGTTGTAGGAGACAAGGCCAGAGAGGCAGTGGGGGCACAGCTCACATATGGTCTGGAGGACAAAGACTTGAGCTTTACTCTCAATGAGATGGGAAGAGAGTAACTTATGAGTTTTAAGCAAACACGTGACATGATCTGACTTACATTTTTAAAAGATCCCGATCCCTTTGGCTTCTGTGGGGAATGGACTGTGGATGGACAAGGATGGAAGTGTGGCCACCAGGTAGGGGACAATTGCAGTAATCCAGGCAGGACATGATGTAGCTCTCAGACTGCCCCTGCTTTCTCAGTGAAATGAGAAGTAAGATCTTCGTGTAAGAGTGAGGAGGGCAGGATGGAAGCTTAAGGAGAAAAGAGAAGGTATGATAATAGTGGGTGATGAATTGATTAAGGAATTATGGCAGGGTTTCTGTCCAACTGCTGGCAGTAGTGAGCAGTTTGCTAAAATGCTACTTACCTCAGAACCTCTAGGACTTCTCTGGCTGTGCACCTTTCTTCCTTGTGTCTAGTTTCTCTCCCTTCACCCTGTTTCTTGTTCTCTGACTCTAGATGACCTCCAGTTGGCTTAGAGAACCCAAGCATTTATTGAGAAGAACATGACAACCCACTGGCACAGCCAGCTTCTTATACCAAAGCCTTTGGAAGGACTAAGAGAGGCCCTCACTGTGCCCAGTTCTCCAGAGAGACTGTTATACACCTGACAATTATTCTACCACCTCACGCTCCAGCAGTCAGTGAGGGAGGCCCATTGAGTTCCACGCTCTTATTAAGACCATCCTCTCCTACTCATGATATAGCCTTCATTAGGATTTGAGGGATACCCAAAGGGCTCCTTGTGCTTTCTAGTAAGGCTACCACCCCTGGCCTCCATGATACTGCTCACTTCACAATAGACTGCCTAACAGGGCAGTCCCAACGAAAATTCTATAAATAGAATTGGTGACCCACTCTTCCTGAAGTGGCCAGTAGAACTAATCTCATCTTGACCCCAAATTCCAAGACCTTAAGGGCGTCTGGAAAATGGCATATTTAAGGGCCAGGTGGGAATGGATGACACCACTCTTGTCCATATCCTGTTAGACAGAACAGGTCAGTAGGTGCAACCTAACTACAAAGGAGGCTGCGAATGTGTAACCAGGGAAGAGGAAAATGAAATGGCAGACAGACATTGTCTCTGCCATAAGCAGCCAGAGGAGAAACGAGTAGGAGGCATACACAGAGATAGTGGTGACACAAAGATCAAGGAGAAAGAAACCATGAAGGAGGAACTGATCCAATAATGTCATGTTACAGAAATGTGAAGTAGGATATGGACATAAAAGGTCTGGTTTTGCAGTTAGGAAGTGTCTGGCAACATGATGAAGGGTAGCTTCTGTGAAGTTATGATGAAGTGAAAGAATGGGAGGCAAAGAAGTAGATACAGAGAGTATAGACTATTCTGTAGGAGAATCTAACTACATAAAGTGACAGAAAGAGATAGTGAAATAACTAGAAAGGGGTGCTTAATTGAAGGAGAATAGTTTTTTAATATAGGCACGATGTTTACAAGCTAAAGAACTAGTAGTGAAGGAAAAAGCCAAGATAAGAGAAAGGTGGCAATTCATCAAGGAAGTCTAGAAAAGAAGCCAGGAAAAGAGAAGACCAGAGCACAAATGAATGTATATTAGTCTTGGACAGAAGGAGTGACACAGCCTCTTCTAAGATGTGTGAAAGGATAGCAAGGGTAGAAACAACTGAAGAAAAATTTATAAGTGAGGGAAAGGAAGTGAAGGGAGTTCATGTCTAACAGTGTTTATTTTTTCAAGGGGCTAATATGCTGTTATGTAGGGAATTATGGAGTAGTTGAGGGTGTTAAGATAGCTGCTGTGTAGAAGATTGCGGGCTAACCATGGAAAGCAGTATGATGTTTAGGGCTCAGTTGGGGTTAGAGACCCCTAATGTGTCGTGGCACCAGTATGAACTATTGTGAAATTTTCTCCACCAACACACAGCTCTCCAGGGCAGAGACGGATGTTTGAACTGACCCAAGACCAGGGATTTTTGTACAGTGGATATTGTGGAATAACTAGAGATTGGTGGGTGAGGATGCCGGAGAGATTTATTATAGTGGTCTAGCTTGGATAGGAAAGGAAGTGAGGCCAAGAGAAGGCTGATGGACTTCCAGAAAGTAGAGGTCAAGGAACTGGAGGGCATGAGGAAATGGAAGAGCAGAGGAGGTGAGAGCAAAGGAGTTAGTAAAGGAAGTATAAGTTGTTATTGCAGAGGGCAGGATATTAGAGTTTTAGAATTCTAATATGGAACAGTTCTGGGAATGGGGGTATCCAGAGTATGGCCATGGGAAGGTGCTGCTGAAGTGGTTTGAAAGCAAGGTGTTACAGAGTTAAAGAGGTGGAAGTGCTCAGGCTCTTTATGCATATTGGGGTAGTGTCCTAGAGAACAGTCAATGATTTAGACTAGAGAGAGCTGATTTGATTGCCTGAGATGTAAAGAAGGAAGGAATTTTGCATGAAAGTCTGCAGTGGCAGTGAGGAACTAGAAAAATGTAAACCTCTCTTTTTATTTCACCTTCCTCCACATAGCTTAGACCCTTGTCATCCTGTTTGGATTATAAAAATACAGTAAGTCCCCGACTTACAAACATTTGCGTTGCAAACTTTCACAGGTATTAATGGACCTCACATTATGAACATTTGTAGATGCGAACAAATCACAGAAGTAGCTCACGTGTCTGCCGTTGTCACAATTGTGCTGCTGTGTGCTTACTGTACAGTGTGATAGTGTACAGAAGGACATTCATCATTCAGAGCCCAGGATGTCCAGAAGCAAGAGGAAAAGCAGTGGTGATGTGGAGGGGACTGCTAGGATGCGCAAAGCAATATCCATGGAAACAAAAGTGAAAATAATTGAGAGATTGGACTGAGGCGAAAAGATGGTAGACGTCACTCATTCTTATAACATGAATCATTCAACCATTGGCTTTACATCGTATATTTGTGTCAAAGGCGTGTAAGTCTCACTTTGTTGGACTTATGAATGAATCCAACTTACGAATGTTCTCCCGGAACAGAACTCATTCGTAGTTTGGGGACTTACTGTACTCTCCTAATTGGTTTTCCTGATTTTGGTTTCTCTCCCCTGTATCCGTCATACACATGATTGGCAGCTTAATTAATCTTGTTGAATAGCCTTGACCATGTCTCACTAAAACTCCAGTAGCTCCCTATCTGCCTACAGAATACAATCTCTATTCCTTAGCCCCACCCTCAAGTTCCAGGCACAGAGCTGGTTCCAATCTACTGCTTTGTTTTATGCATCTAGTTTGAGGTAATATCAAATACTTAGCTTGTATTGGTTTAAATTCTGTACTATTTTATTAACACTAATCTTGGAAAACCTTCCCAAATATGGTTTTATTAACTGTCAGGAATGTTCTTCCCACAGATCTCAGAATGTCATCCTTCAGGCACCAATTCAAATGCAGATTGGTCTCTGCCTCAAATGACATCTCTATTCTGTGTTCTTTTTTTTTTTTTTTGCAAAAATTCCACTTTAAGCTTTATATTCTACTTAGTCATGTATGTATTAAGCAAGAACCACTCCTAATTTATCATTGCACCTCCAACTCATAACACCTACCTCAGTCTCTTGCCTTTTGTGGGTATCCAATGTCTGCTGGCTAAATACATGCATGCGTTCATGAATAAATAAATGAGTGGATGTACAGAGCTCTTATAATGTTCTAATAGAGTTAAAGGCCAGAATCCTTCACCAGAATGTGATCTCCTGGAGGTGTAGACTTGATTAGAGATAGACGATAGATAGATAGGTAGATAGATAGATAACCAGAAGACTGACTATAAAGATCCATTGCTTCAAAAATGCTGTGGAACAAACAACCTGAAAACTGAGTGACTTAAAACAACCATCATTTATTCTCATGGGTCTGTGGTTGGATGAGGATTTGTTATTTAGGCTGGGCCTGATTGGGGTGATTTGATTCTGCTCCAAGTGTCTCTTAGCCTAATTCAGGCATGTATTTTCATGACAATGTCAGAAATTTATGTTTTACCCTCAATACTTAGCACTGTTATGGGAGCATTATAAGCTAAGAACAGAGTGGATACCCAATAAAATCTTGGCAACTGGAGTTGAATTAGGCAGCTTCACACCTAAGTCATTCTCACAGTGTTAACCCCAAGTGCTCTAGAGCGTGAACAAGGTCTTTCATACATCAAATAGCTGTTTATTTCCTGACTTGAATAAAATGCCAACTCATAACTGGACAGCAACTCCCTTAACAGAGACCCATTTATTCATTTAATTATTTGATTCATTGACTCTTACCATAAATTGTCATTGAACTATGTGTGATAACTTTATTCTAGACACTAAAGGAAAAAAAGCAACCTGTGAAGATAAGCATCTCATGTTTATAAAGTAACCTCCTTTTTTTCTCCTGTTTGGCCAGGCTGTGACAACATGCTGATGGGTATAAAGTCTCTGAAAATAGTGAAGAAGACTATGGATAGAGATGGCTCTTGGATGAAAGATGCTGTCAGTGCCTCTCCCAAGGTTTATTCCTTCATTGGATCCAGAAACAACACTGTTTGGGAGTTTGCAAACATGCGGGCACTCATGGAAGATAGCACCAAGCTGGGCCCACGGAAGCTAATCTTAACGCATTCCTGGCAGGGAACAGGCCAAGTGATCTACAAAGGTTTCCTATTTTTTCACAACCAAGGGACTCCTAATGAAATAATCAAATACAATCTGCAGAAGAGGACTGTGGAAGATCGAATGCTGCTCCCAGGAGGGGCAGGCCGAGCACTGGCCTACCAGCACTCCCCGTCAACTTACATTGACCTGGCTGTGGATGAGCATGGGCTCTGGGCCATCCACTCAGGGCCAGGGATCCATGGCCATTTGGTTCTCACGAAAATTGAGCCCGACACACTGGGAATGGAACACTCATGGGTCACTCCATGCAAAAGCCAGGAGGCTGAAGCTGCGTTCCTCTTGTGTGGGGTTCTGTATGTAGTCTATAGTTCTGGTGGCCAGGGCCCCCATCGCATCACCTGTGTCTACGACCCGAGGGGCACTATCAGTGAGGAGGATCTGCCCAACTTGTTCTTCCCCAGGCGGCCAAGAAGTCACTCCATGATCCATTATAATGCCAGAGATAAGCAGCTGTATGCGTGGAATGATGGAAACCAGATCATTTACAAACTCCAGACAAAGCGAAAGCAGCCTCTGAAGTAATGTATTACAGCTGGGAGGGAGAACACCTTGGCCTTGGAAGCTGCTGTTCAGGACATTGAGGCCACAGCCCCTTTGCAATATTGTATCCCTCTAATCACATAAAGGGACCGATTCTAAAAGTCGGAATGCATTTGCATCCTCCCAGATGTTACTGACTTAGAGATCTTCCAAGAGTTTAGATGAGAGTCTGTCATTCAGAAACTTTCAACAACTTACATTACCCATCCAAACCTCCTGGCACTCAAGGCCTTCCACATTCTGATCCAGTTTACTTCCAGGCTATTCTTTCACTGGCATTTACTTTAACTTCACACTCCCCCCCAACCCCCAAGCAATTAGAAATGTAGGCCACCCCCTAATACTCCTGGCTTTTCTCTCCTCTGGCCTTTTCTCAAGCTCTTTCCTGTTTTACAAATGCCTTTTGATATTCTTCCATTTTTACTCCCAACTAAAATACTATTTCTTATTGATGTTTAATCTTGATTTCTCCTATTTCCACCTTTCTGCCACGCTAGGTAGATGTAATAATGAGGTAAACAGATTAACACTTGAATACTACTTTCAAGCTACAATGTGTTTGCACCTATGTTACATCAATAATTCTCATCTCAGCCTTGTATGCAGGACAAGTCTTTATAGTTGCCATTTTAGAGATGAGGAGAGCTTAGGTAAGCCATTCAAAGTAACAGAGCTACAAAATGAAGGATAGAGCTAGAAAATACTGCAAATCCCATAGTTTTTTCATTGTCCAAGGAAGCACCAAATATGTATGTTTGTTCATGTAACCTTTTGTAAGCAATACGTTCATCATTTTATTCTAAAAATAATAGTTTGCCCCTTTAGCCACTTTTCATGTCCACGCAAGACTTTCCTACAGCCCTTTCAAAAGCTACTTCCTCCAGAAAAACAGCCTGAGGGTGAGGACCCTACTTCTAGCCTCATCTTGTCTTACCTTCCTCTAAGCCTCTCTTCTTGTTTGAAATACAATAAAATTGACATGAAGCAAACAAACTTCATCAGGTTATATTTGCCTACATGCCGTCAGCATAACAGCTTCAGTGAGTGCTGCCTGTGCTTGGGTGTACGGTGAACAATCCCCAGCACACTGAGGTCCTTGGTAAATATTCTGGAATCTGGGTGGAAGCTAACTGACTCCCTGCCACAGCAAGTGTGCCGTGTGGCGCAGGGGACAGAGGGCAGCTGTGCCTGGCCAGAGGGGCTCCCTCAAAATCTTTCCCATGTGTGTGTCCAATTCAGCCTGATTTGGGTCACAAGTGCAGGCTGTGGTGCCAGCCTGTGTCATGTGCTGAGGCCTGTCTTTCCAGGTTGGTCACATGAGAGGATTTGCTTTGTACACTTGCAGCTGTTTTCCAGACTCTGCCAAGCTCAGGCCAGGACCATAGCAATGAAGTTTGGTGTTTTTTTTCCCCACAGCATTTGAGTAGAGCTTTGGCAGAATAGAACACAGCACAATTACCCACCATTCTAATAGAGTGATACAGAAAGCCCAGATCTGTAGTGGAGTGAGGCAGGTGTAGATAAACATGATGATATTACCCATTCCATGGGGTTGGGGACATGACCTGCCCTGTGGATAAAAGAATATTATTTATTTCACCAGGATAAGGAATGGGAACTGACTCACGGAGGAGGGGAGAGTGAAGTTATCAGCGAATGGAATTATGTGCTAGAACTGGGCACATAGTGCCTTTGGAGGTAGAGGAGAGGTTGACTTTCATTTGTGATAGGCTTCAAATTGATAGTTTTCCAGGGTGCGCTTTTCACTAACAACCCACCCTTGCACCTTAAATTCCTACAGCTAGAATCACTCTTTTAGGTCAAGAAGGAAGCCCCTGTTAATGTGCCACTTTGTTTCCTGGAAGTCAGGACTGGACAGCATATATGTCCATGAACACTTTTTTGGGCTTCTTCTAGGTGAACCTTTAAGCTCGGGTTTTAGTTGGATTTTAGTCAGGATTGAAGTCACTATGACCTATACCAGTGGTTCTTGAACTTTAGTGAGCATAAGAATCACCCGAGGAGCTTTTAAAACTCCTCATGCCAGGTCATACCCCCAAACCATTAAATCAGAACCCCTGGAGCTGGGACTCAGACACATTTTTTAAGTCCCCTCCTCCAAAGTGTTTCCAAAGTGCAAATAAGCTTGAGAGCCAAATTACTTATACCATTTTTAAAAGTAATTTTTAAAAAGTAATTGTATAGTCCTGAGAACAGACTAGCATTTTCTGGGGGCTGGTGTCGGGGTAGTGGGTCCACAGGGGCAATGACATGTGGGACTTAGAAATCCCCATGAACTCGTGTGAACTGTGGCAGCCTCGGTTTACAAAAGCCTCTCTGCTGCTATTTTAAGGAAGTGAAAGAGAACTGAAGGGTGTCCTGTTGTAACACAATTCTTGTGGGCCCCAGCCTTCCTCTGCTGGCTTTGCCCTTAGTCTGCTTCTGGCCAGGTTCCTGCAGTGACCAGAGTCTCATATTTGCCAGGGTGGCTTAAGTTCTCTTCACATGTAAAAGTCTTCTGGGCACACTGGTAATTTCAGACCACCAGGGTAATTTGAAAAAAAGATGTGTCTTGTGGAGTTTGTCAGCACTTCCGCCTGTACAAATGTAGATAGAAAACTGAGGCCAGGGCTGTAGCGACTCCTGCCAGAGCTGGGGACTATGCCAGAGTCCCTGGTGTTGATGCCATCTGAGACCCACAGGGATTTTAAGCAGCTGAACTGAGCAACCAGTCCTTGGAGGCTCAGGCAGGGCAATAACCTAACAGTACAACCAAAGGGGATTCAGGCTATACAATGGGGGGAAAGCGTCCGACTAGGTCTCCAGGGTCCAGTTCTGCTCAGATTCTAGGATCCATTCCTGTGGTCAGACATCTCGCCAAACCTTTTCTTGGGCTTGTGGAACACCGCCTTGGTGCTGGGCACAGGGAACTACTTCTTGTCCACAGCAGTTCACCAGTGCCTTTAGTTGCCGTTGACCACTAGAGGGACCTCCACCCCAGGTCGCGGGGTTCAAGCGCAGCCGGACCCAAGGGTGCCTCACAGCCTTCCAGACTGAAGGGGTAGCGAAGTGGTGGGGGGCGCTCAGAGACAAGGAATGAGGCTCCCCTCAGGCCAGCCTCAGTTCGGACGGAATCGCACTGGTCCAGGAAGTCCAGACACCCAAGGGTTGATGCGCTGGGGGTGCTTCTAATCGATGTTTCTATGGCTTCTCTTTCTTTGCAGTTTGCGACACAAATTCCCTTTCTGTTCCCCCGTTTTCATTTCTTTCGGCCGGGGAATGTTGCAGAAGGGCCGGAGAAGTCCAGGGGACTGGGAGCTGGGAACCGCAGGGCTACCGCCTTGGGGCGGGAAGGGTGCCGGAGGGGGAGGTGATAGGAGCGGGGCGGGGCTCCGTGGAGGGGCGTGGCCTTAAGAAAGACGGTTCTTCGGGACTAGGCGCGCGGTCCAGGGGGCGGGGCCGGAGGGTGGGGGCTAAGGCAGGTTCGAAGGGGCGGGGTTGACAAGGCGGGTCCTTGAAGAACCGGAACCCGTGGCGGACTTGTCCCTACCGGTCGCAACGGTGCGGGAGAGGGAACGGGAGTGGCAGAGGGGCGGTCTCAGGGGGAAGAAGGCGGGGGCAGCGGGCGCTCCGGGACGAGCCTCCCGTGGGTCCCCGCCCCCGTCACGTGGGCTCCAGACCCTGCAGCTGCCGCTCGGTCCGCTGGTTGGTGGGTCAGTTGGTCGGTGGGTCAGTGGCCTGCAGCTCGACTATCGGCTCTCATGTTCGAAGGTGGGTGGGACACGGGAGCGGCCCGCACACCTGAGCCGCCTGGAGAGGAGCTCCGCACCCAGGTCAGTGGGCTCTCCCCACTCCCTTAGGCCCGCTGCGCGGTCGGGACTGGGAGCCCCCGCTGGGGCATTGCCTGGGAAACGGAGAGTCCCTAGATCCTAGAACCAGCCGGGGCATTGGGATCAGTGTCAGTATGGGCTCCAGAGCGTGTCCCAGGCGCGACGACCGGAATCCTTCTCTTCTCTGGGCAGAAGACTGGGAGGAGGGTATAACTTCTGTGAATTTGCTCCAAATCTCTACCCAACCCTGCCCGGAATCTAGGGACAGTCCGCACCCCTACAGGTGCCAGGATGTCCCTGGAGATGCGTTGGGTGGTCGGTCTCCTCAGCTCTGTGTGGTATTTCAGAGCTCCGCTCAGTCAGCTGAGGAAGCGGCGTAATCTAGAGATCCCAAGGTGGTTGGGAAGTTGACTGTCTGTTTGCCCAAATAATTTGTGTTCGACAGAGCGTGTATCCAGATGCAACGCTTTGGCTGATGAGACCAGCTCTATACTGTAATTGCAGATAGGCTACATGCGTTTGAAACTCGCAAGCTGCTGCGTCCCAGTGGGCTGCGGGAAGGTGATATCCCGACTCTAGACCTCCACAGTTTTTCCTCAGATGAAAATAAGATTACATATCTAAAGAAAATAATTTACAACATTTGGGTAGGGTTGAAGCTGGCATTCTAACCAGTGTTTAATCCTTTTAAAAAACAAATCCAGAGTATTTATATTTTTACATTTAGAGCAGGTGATATTTGGTATAGGTCTGTCTCCCTTTCCAGTTTTGATCTACTTTCTGTCTTTTCATCTCCTTCCTCTCCCAGTTCCTTAACTGATTATAATGCAAATCGGAAGTGTTTCCAAATTTATGTTGCATTTTGTGAGGTTTAATGCCCAATTACAGAAATGTAGTTGGCTGTAAACATAATTCATCTTCAGCGTGTTCAGTCTTTTATTATTATTTGTATATGGGCAACAAAATGTTATTTGATTTAGCGATTCAGTATTTCTCTTTTGGGCATAAGAGAGGCAGCCCATTTGTATTCTGCTTAAATTCGTATTTAAATGACTTTGAAGTGAGTGATGAGGTAGATGGTGAATCTTTCACTTACTGCATTCATCCATGATTTTATTTAAAACATTATTATTATTATTAAATTACATTGAGATTTGATGCTGTGTCAGTTATTAGCTTATTGCTACGGGGAGACAAACAGTATGGTCTCCTTTCCTGGGGTAGCTATAGCAGGTGTGCTGACTTTAAAACTAAGTAGAATGAAATAAATGCCATGAAGAGGGAAGAGCAAAGTGTTGTGGGGATTCCTGTCTTTCATCTGAGGAGGGAAAATGTGGGATAATTTCTTTCAAGAAGAGGGTGACATCTGTGTGATGGACCTCAAAGGATTTCTCTCGAGTTTCTCCAGGCAAGTGGGTAGTGTGCCACCTGGGCTGTGAGAGCTATGTAGCAGGCAAGCAACAGCTAGCCCTGAGAAGTGGTAAGTTATCCAGCTGGGCTCCAATGGCAAGTGGTAGACAATGAAGTTGATGACAAACATGGCCTCCGTGGGCCATGAGGGCCAGGTGCAGAAGTCTGGACTTGGTCTGAAAGCATGGGAGTCAATAACGGGTTTTAAGCAGGGGACTGATAGATGTTTCTTTGAGCTTAAAGTCAGGGACCTTTGCCCTTGACTTTCCCAACTTCCCAAACCCCAGCCTGGAGTGGAGAAAATCCTGGAAGTATTGTGGGATGGATGGTCAGGTAACACTTCAGAGCAGTTTTAACAAGCTTAAGAATCACCTGGGGATCTTGTTCAAATGCAGATTTTGGTGGCTCAGGGGTGGGACCTGACATTCCTCATTTCTAACACGTGCTTAACTGGTGTGACCCCCTTCACTATATATACCGTATTTCCCCCATGTATAAGACACTTCCATGTATAATACGCACCTTAATTTTGGGGCCTAAAATTTGAAAAAAAAATGTATTTCATAAAGTTATTGAATTCAAGTTTTATTCATCATAAAATGCATACAACTCCTCATCACTGTCAAAACTCCCAACCATTAGCTTGTCCTCATCTGTGTCTGATGACGAATCACCCAATTGCCCTTTGCTCTTCAATCCAAATCTTCAATTCCCTCTCTAAATCTGGCCATTTTGCTGACTTGCCTCTCATGGCCTTCTTCTGCCGTGGTGTTTTCAGTAGGGTTTCTTCTTCCTGTAGCCAGCCTCGGATTGTTTCCTCAGTCGGAGGAGGACCAAACTTACGTTCAGCAGCACAATTTCCATTCACTTTTGCAAACTGGATCACTTTTAACCTGAATTCAGCACTGTACGAAAATCTTTTCTGAGCCATTTCTGGGCAGAACATGGCAAAATGTAACCTACTGTAATATACCGGTAACAAACGTGAAAGAATGAGCGCAAAAACAAGCGCAAAAAAAGCAGGAAATGCAAGTAAAAAATGTACAACCACTGTATAAGATGCACCCAGTGTTTAGACCCCAAAATTTTTTTAAAAGGGTGCATCTTATACATGGGGAAATACGGTAGCAAGGATTTAGTGCAGGGCTTGCTAACCTGGCTCTGCCTCAGAATCACCTGGGGAGCTTTTAAAACTATTCAGATTAAGTATGTCTGGGATGTGGTTGCAAAGTTCCCCCAGGTGATTCTGATGAATGCTGGGCTGGAAATGCTGTAGTGGGCTCTTGGCAGGGCTGTGGGAAGCAGTAACCAGAGGGAAAAGACACTAGGGGTGGAGAGCCCAGTTAAGACACTGGAAAATCAATCAGGATATAAGTGATGAGGCCTTATATTGGGCCTGAGAGAGAGGGTCCATTGAGGCAAGAGAGACTCGAGAGAGAGAATCTACAGGACAGGGGCCAGGGAGTGGGCATTGTCTGTCTACACTGACTATACAGGAGTGGAGGAATGACTCTGAGAGAATTCAGCTTTGGAGGAGGCATAATGGCATGTACTTTCAACTGCACATGTGGGGTAAGATTTGAAGTTGTTTTTATAGTGCCTGGCCATCATGACTTAAAACCCTCCGATGGATCCCGTATTGCACATTATCAGAAGGAAGAGCTAATATGAACAAACTGATGAGGCGATTTAAGCATTTACTAAGTTCCCAGACTGTGCCCCCCCATTCAAGAGGTGACACTCAGGAAAAAGAAAGAAAGTGATATTGTCGCCATTGGGTGTGGGCACAGCTAGGCTGAAACTCTTGACAGCTTTGTGTTTTCCTGAGTCACTACTTTTCCTGCTTCCTCCTTCCTTAGAACAGTTCCACTTTATGTTTCCTGGCATCATTCTTTGGTTTCAACACTTAATGATACCTATGTGTCTCAGTTTTCACAGAATCCACAGGTAGTCTCAGAAAGGTGGGCTGTATCCTTCATAGACTCCGAAAGCCAGGTCAGGTCTTACTTGACCTCGAGGATCTTCGGGAGGTCCATGCGTATCTCATGCACCAGGTACATCATCTTCTGGGAGGAGCTGTCCTGGAGCATCTGTTCAGCGTTAGATCCAGATGGTCTCAAGGCCTTACGAGTTTCAGGGAGCTACTAACTCTCAGCTTTGTCTGCAGGAAATTTATGACTTCTGTTTAGTGCTTCTAGGTAATTCTTACTTTGGTGCTCCTTGCTAATTCTTACTTTCATTTCCTCTCTCTGTCACATACACAGTTATGCACACTGAGAACTGAGCGTTCATTGTGCACTGTGCTTTTAATCATCATGTTTCATGTTGTATAGTAATCTTGACCTCTGTAGCACATCTGTAGAAAGAAAGTCTAGACACAGATGGGATAGAATTGCCTCTCTGAAAGGATAAAGTATAACATCCTTTTATGGCATTCAAGGCTCTGCGGAGGCTGGCAGTAATTTAGCTTGCCAGCTGCATCTCCACTGTTCCCCAAACTGAGTAGCTGAACAGTTTCTACCCTTCGTGCATCTCTGCCTTTGCATACACTATTTCCTCTTCCTGGAAAGCCCTTTTGTCTCTGCTCTGCAAGATGAATGAGCTCCTATTAATCCTTTAGGACACAGATGAAACTCTTGAAACATCTCACCTCCCACTACCCCAAGTCATGTTGACTTTTCCCTCTAATATTATATATGTATAACATCAAACACAGGTCTCTGCTATGGTGCTTAGGCTCTTTATTTGCATGTCTCTGTCCACACCTCTTGCAAATTCTGAGCTGCTCTAGGGCTGCTTCAGCCCTGGTGTGAGGCCTACACACAACAGATGTTCAGGAAGAGTTTGTGGAAGGCAAGCGCCTTGAGCTAGCTGGTTTTGCAATGTTTGCCTCAGTGAAGGGAAGAAGGCAGCGTATTTTGTGCAGGAGATGAGGGAAGGAACAACAGCAGAACCTGCAAGACTGGGGCAAGCCCAGTGAGGAGTGGCCCATGTGGCTACTAGAGTCATAGGGTGGGGTGGGGAGGGGACCCTGGGAAAGGTGGGGCTGAAGTCTTAGGGCGGGGAGAGATTGTGGAGGTCCTTGAAAGCCTGAAGAACTTAAAATTTGTTCCTATGATATTGAAAGTCTTTGAGTATGGAAAAGACAGTTGTGCTTTAAGAAAGATTCAGGTCTAGGAAGGGCAGGTTGGAGGGAAGGGAGAAATTTCTTGTGAGAATGTGCTGTTGGACTAACCCATTGAGGTAACTTAGGACCTAACTCCAGGCAGTTGCAATAGGGATGGAGAGGAGGAAATGGAGGTGAGTGAGTTTGCCAAGAAATCCTGCAGGATTTGGTGACTGATTGGATTTGAGGGAGAGAGAAAAGAGTCAAGTTGGACACTGACATTTTGTGCTAGTTTGCTGGGAGAAGAATGAGGCAATTGTTAGCAGCATGAGAGCATGGAGAAGCTTCTTGGAAGGGGGAAGGGAGACAAGGGTGGTTGATTCCTTTGGAAGCAGGAGGAAGCCTTGGGTAGTTTCTTGCATGTCCCTTATATTTTTACACAAGAGAATGGTGAAGCCCAAAGAAAGCTACCTAGGGTCACCCAGCT